TGTGCAGCTCTGCAACTGCATCCTGGCCCATCCTCACCCTTCTGCCCCCAACCCTCACCTCCTTGTACCCCCAATATGTTTTTCCCAATAAAAAATTAATAAAAAAAGGATAAAAACTGCTTAATACTGCTGTTTTATTTGTTTACGTTTTTTTCTTCTTGTGTACCGTCAAATCAGATCTGACTGGCACAGGAGGAGATTGACCCTCCTTCTCCAGCAGAGCATCTGATGGCTTTGAACCCTGTGCCTTTGGGATTACAGTGCAGCTTCTTTGCCACTAGGCCAGCAGAGATCCCTTAACACCACTATTATAAAATAGGAGAGACATGGGGGGAGGGTGGGGAGGGAATGGGGAAATGGTGGATAGATAATGAATGGTACCTTAGAACATTTGAGAGGAAGAACTGTCAAAAGGAATATATGGTTATGCTCAGAAAAATCTGGAATAAGAAGTGCATTGTGGGGTGGGCTAAGGGAGGAGGAGAGAAGGAGAGGAGAAAATGTGCAACAATGACTAAATAAAAAAAATAAAGGAGAAGTGGGGGAGGTAGGAATAAAAGAAGCTGGTGACAGAAGGTACTGCATTATTATGTTTAAATATGTATATCCTGTAATGTTATAATTTCCACATATAATAAAACTCATGCACATTGTCATTGAGACGGGACTATAGATGACCCGACTGGGGTCGTATTATTGAGTTTCTGAGGCTGTTAATCACACAGGAGGAGATTGCCCATCTTTCTCCCACTATTCAATTCAAACTGCCAGAAAACTACCGTCTTCAGACTAGAAGGGTAACTCCCTCCGGACTAGGCCATCAGAGTTTTCCTTCCACATATCGTGATGCCCTGAATTAAAAATTTTACAATAGACTCTTAGAGCTGAAAGAAGCTCAAAGGTAATATTTTAAATTCTTTAAGGATAAAGAGAAACACTGCTTGTTCAACAAAGTTAAAAATTCACTACGTATTTGACTTTGTTAGAAGCATTAAGGTTACAATTAAACAAAACAGACAAGGTCTCTAATATTATCAAATAGCTCACAGCCTAAAAGAAAAATCAGATGTACAGACAAAAAATTGTTGGTGAAAACCATGATATAGTATGTTAAAGGTGGTAAGGTGCAACAAAAACATACATTTAAAAAGTACAATGAAAAAACTGTGGTAGTTGTGTAAGTTACACAATTGAAGAGACACACTTTACTAGAATTTTGAAGGAAAATTTGGTAGATAAATAAGAGAAAGGGAAATGGCTCTTGAGGCAGAAGTTCCAATGTGTATAAAAACATGAGAGATTCATTACCAGGAAAGAAGTATGCAGTAATCTAACATGGCCTCACTGAGTACAGCTGTTGACAATAAGCAAGAAATAATGATTTGCAAAGGGGAATCCTGAAGACAGTTATGCTAGCAAACTTGTTGGTAAAATTGTAATGATGTTATAGCTATACTTTTTAGTTTGGATATAAATGACTGTCTCGGGAAGATATTGTTTTTCAACCAAAGTTGTAATCAGAGATTCTGGTTTTGATTTCAGGCAGAGCTTTTGTATTTTTACATTTGTATTTCTCAATCAGACAGAAACATCAAAATCATTTTTAATAGGAAGAAGAAAATTATTAGAGATTTAGAAAAAATTAAACGCAAATATAATTATGGAAAATTATTTAAATTTAAATTATTTTAAAACAACAATGGCATAGGAAATAAATATCTAGAAGGACTCTTTAGGACAAACTTTAATACAATCATACAATACGAATTAAATCTATATAAACCTTGTGGTATTTGCTTTTATGAGGAAATACAATATGTCAAGTGAAAAGTCGTAGCAAAATAATCTGGAAAGGACAAATCTCATATTTGTGGAAGCTATGTAAAAAAAGGGAAGAAGCACATAAAAGGGGGGGAAAACCTGTCTAGAACACCATCTTACACCAAAATGTAGATAGTCTTCTTCTCTGAGTGGTAGATTACAGATGATTTTCATTTTCTATTTTCCAGACCTAAATTATTTATTCATTAAAGAGCTACACTTTTAAAAGTAAAAAGTGCAGAACAGAATTTCATAAGGCACAGTTAAAAATTTTTATGTTGTTGTTGATTGCCTTTGAGTGGAGCATGACTCATAGCAACCCTATGAACAAAAAGCTTGAAGACCCTCTACAACTATAGACATTTGTCAAAGTTCATAGGGTTTCCAGAGGCATGCTATTTAGACAACTAAAACAATTTTTTTTCATCGAAGTAGAAAGTACCAAAAAACATTAATTAATGTTCATGACTGAAGACAAATTTAGGTTTCCAGTCAAGAACGGTGGTTTTTTACGAACACGTAAGCAATGACACTTCCAAACAGCGAATATAGAATGGATTAAAAACCCTACTCTTCAGTGCTGACACCAGTTGAGACACTGAGCCAAAACCTGCTTTCACCGAAGTAAGCATTTTAAATAAAGCATATTTGCATAGTTGCTTTATTTATAACATATTTGCTTCATTAAAACAAAAATAATACATAAGCAAAACAGCGCCACAAAAATAGTATTTAGATGAAAAGTAATGAAAACCAGTCTTGCCAACCACACATTTAAAATTTTTTAATTACCTTTATTTTGCTCCAAGTTAGAGAAGAATTTATTTGAAACTCACGCAGCTACCAAAAAAAAAGTGTGTGTATGTTTGTGCTAGGTATAGGTGAGGAGTGTGGACATGCATATAACACAAAATGTTAGAGAGCTCAACGCTCTCCCCTCGCCTCCAACACTGCTTCTCTTTACAACCTTAAAATAAATGGCTTCTTATTTGATCCGTGATAGCCGCTCAGTTTAAGATCTACGTGAAGAAAATAGCACGTATCTGTTACTTTTGGAGTAAGGTCTCCTACTAGTACTTTCTGAGGAAAATAAAGCTACTAGCTGTTCTGCCTTTTTTCCTTTCCTACCACTCTCAAAGGCCTAATCGGTTTGTGAGGGGCAGGAGGGGACGATGCATGGAAATTCCCCACAAGACTCTGTTTTTACTAACTCGCTCTTCTTTGAAGTCAGCCAGGTCTCGGTTTGAGCAGAAGCTTCAGGAAGAAACAGAGAGGAAGGACTAAGAACTTCCCATTAATTTAAGAGGCTACACTCCCAGTCAGGAGAAAAAGAGCTTCATTCAACAAGATGGACTGACACGGTGAATGCAGTTATGAGCTCAAGTATTCCAGAGATGATGGGGATGGTACAGGATAGGACAGGGTTCAGATCTGTTGTTCTGGACGGCAAGGAACAGCACCACCCCCATTCAGGAGGCGGATGGGACGTGTTAAAGTTGGGTGATCGGTAAGGCCATGGAAGGAGCCTGCTAGGGCAGAACTGCAAGAATCTAAGGCGTCAAGCTGACGGGAGGAAAAACAATCTCTCTTACTAAACACCTATTAAGTATCAACTATATTTTGGCATGTTTTCAGGAGGGACCACTCCTGGGGAAAAGACATCATGCTGGGAAAGGTGGGGGGTCAGAGAATGAGAGGAAGATGGATTGACTCAGTGTCTTAACAATGGGTGCGAGGATACCAGAGATGGTGAGGATGGCACAGGACAAGCCTCATATCTTTTATTCTTAGGTTAGCTGTGAGCCGTGGTGAGTTGACTCTATCTAACACTAAGTGCTGGCCAGGAGCTCCATACGGAGTTGCACTGCTATCCCAAGGAAAGTGCCTCTCTGTCAGGTCGGATCCACCAGCCAACCGGAAGGAGTCCTACAGTGTCCAACTCTCCAAAACCTGCTAGAGGGTCCGCTATGAGTCGGTTTCAACTCGACTGCAATAAGAGATGTTGCAGCACTCAAAATGCTTTCACATGTATTAAATGTATTTAATTAAGTTCCAGTCCACACTATAACTTCTTTAGGAAATTTCTGAATACGCTGCACTTTCTATACTTCTAAAAAAAAAAATCTCAGTAAAGGCGATATATGGAAGTCAGAGACAAACAGGTGGAGAGATCTATGTCTACTTTGGGCTCCAAAACAAAGTCACCCAGAGCCCGCTTGCTCACCAGGACGAAGCCCAGAGCCCAAGTGCCCACTGGGTTCAGGCTGCAGAACCGGGACAAATCCTACGTTTATTTACTCCGCCAGCTTTTGCCCAGGGTCCATTGAGCCAAGTATTTCTTCCCCGTGCCCATCAGCATTGGTGTTCATCTTTCCACCGATCTTTCTGCTTCCTCAGGAATTTCGAGCGCTAACTGGTCCCGATAACAATCATTAAGGCCGTTAGTTAGTAAGTAAGACACTTTTCTAAGCGCTTGCAAGTGTCCTTGTTTTGCAAAAGAGGAAACCAAGATAAAAGAACCTGCTGAGACCTAATTGGAACGCGGCAATTTCAACTCCAAATCCGCAATGGAGAAGTTTCCCACTTTCCAAGACTCCCAAGATGGTTTGGAGGGTTTCCCCGCACCGCCTCTACTCCCTGCCCCTTTCCTGTCCCCACTCCCATTCCCCAGCTTCGGCTGCTTTAGGGAGAGTTTGGCCGACTGACGGGGCACCACACGCCTGTGGACAGGTGCGTCCCGGGAATGTGCACTCTCCTCCTGCCTGCGCAGCAGAAGCGAGGGGCCCGCTCTCCCGCACTCACCGTCCTTTCGGAATGGCGCGGGGCTCGTGGGCCCCCGGAGGGGCAGAGCCAGGGTTTTGGAAACCGCCCGGCGGAGATACATGTTGCCCGCCGCTTCCAGAGCTGCAGTGTCCGGAGTCCCGCGCTCGCTACCGGGGCGCAGCGGCTAGGGGTGCGCCCCGCCCCGGGGAGGGGCGCTTACCCTCGTGCAGCGCCGCCCCGGCGGCCTCCAGACCCGAGTAGGGGTTTTGCTCCAGGCACACTACCCACCCACCCCGGGAAGCTGACTGAGCGTTTCCGGAAAAAGCTAGAGAACCAAGGCTGAATGACTAGGTAATTAATTGTTAAAATGAACTTAAAAAGAAATCCCACCAACTATTCTCCATAAAACATCAAAGTCCGAAAACAGCATTTTCACATCAACAAAACATGCTACTTTTTAAATTCCTTCCTCTAAATTACCAATTGCCTCAACAAAAGTATCTAATGGTTTTCAATAGTTTAAGCTAAAAACTTTCTCCAAATGATTACATTTTGGAAGAGACCATTTGGCACGTAAGTTACCTAGTGCTGCCATAAAAGAACCATCACAGGTGGGAGGCTTTAATAAACAGAAATGTATCTTCTCACAATTTAGGAGGAAAAAGTTCAAATCCATGGTTCCACCTCTAGGAAAGGGTTTACTTTTTCTGTGCCTCTGGGGTCCTTGTCTTTTTAAAACTTCTGTTCCTTGGTATAGTGTCCCCTTGTTCTAGTGAAGGGCTGTTTCTTGTGCAGATTCTGCTGAAGCACAGTTCTGGAATTTCCATTCTTTTCAATGCTATTCATATTTATTATGATCCACAGGGTCAAGCGCCTTTGCATAATCAGTGAAAACAAATACAGCTCTTTCTGGTATTCTCTGCTTTCAGTCAAAATCCATCAGACATCAGCAATCCCTTGTTCCACAGCCTTTACTGAATCCAGCTTGAATATAAGGCAGTTCTCTATGGATTTTTTTAAAAATTATTTTTGCATACTCGGCAGCAGGATTTTTTTAATAATTTGTGCTTTTTTTTTTTTTTTTAGTGGCCACAAATACGGATTTTTTTCCAGTCAGTTGGTCTGCTAATTGCCTTTCAAATTCTCTGGCACAGAGTAGGAGCAGATTCAAGTCCACTTCTGTTGGTTGACATACTCAGTGTGTCTTTCAATTCCTGAAACTTTATTTTTTGCCAATGCCTTGAGCGCAACTTGGACTTCTTCCCTTAGTGCCATGTTCTTTAGAACCAATTTCTTGATCATGTACTGCATCCTGAAGTGGTTCAATGTGGACCAGTGTTTTCGGATATAATGACTGCATATTTCTTCTATCTCCTTTTCATGCTTCCTGCATCATTCATTATTTTGCCTATAGAATCCTTCAGTATTGTTACTCAAGGCTTGAATTTTTCTTCAGTGTTTTGGTCATGAAAAATGCCAAGCACTTTTTTTCCTTTTATTTTTCTAACTCCAGGCCATTACACATCTCATTATAATACTTTGTCTTCTTACACTGCTCTTTGAGATCATCTAATCGGCTCTCTTACTTCAGCTTTTCTTCCTTTCATTTTAGCTTCTCTATGTGCTAGAACTTTGACTGTATGGACCACAACAAACTGTGGCTAACTCTGAGAATAATGGGAATCCCAGAACACTTGATTGTGTTTATGCGAAACCTATACTTGGACCAGGAGGCAGTCATCAGAACAAAGCAAGGGAACACTCCATGGTTCAAAATTGGGAAGGGTTGTGGCCTATTCCCATACCTTTTCCCTCTATATGCAGAACAGGTTATCTGGGAAGCTGGGCTCTATGAAGAGAAATGTGGCATCAGGATTGGAGGTAGACTCATCACCAATCTGCGTTATGCAGATGATGCAACCCTGTTTGCTGAAACTGAAGAGGATCTAAAGTGCTTGCTGCACAAGGTCAAGACTTCAAAATGGACTAACACTCAATATCAAGAAAACAAAGATTCTCACCACTGGGCGGATTGGCAGCATC